TGGGAATTGAAATCTCAAAGTCAACTGATCAGCCCATGCTGGCAAACGTAGAATCCAAATTAAGGCATTTAACAAGCGAGTTTTGGGGATCTGACATTCCCAACATGATTTCAAATGTGCAAAAAACACAAACCTCCAAAACTCTGCCCGAAAATATCGTAACAGTGCTCACTAGTGACTAGATTCCTGAGGGAATTCTCGGAGTTCTAGTTGAGAAGACGTGACTAATGCAGTTTAGCCCTGTCGGGTCTATGTAGTAACTACCAAAGACAAATGGGTGAGGTCGCGCAAAAATCCGCAAATCAATCAGAGTTAGACATTAGCACTGTTGGATGCCGGCCAGTTCAGTGGTCCGATGGTTAGGCATTCGCGTACAATACCGAAGGTCACGGGTTCGAATCATGCGCGATGCAGGAGTCGTGAATGCGCATACCAGGACGAAACGGGGCCGTCTTTCAGTGTGCTTCCAGGTTTCTAATGGTGTTGGTCTAACAACGATGTGGTATGGCAACATGAACTGATGTACTTACTTACCAAGTTCTACGTTGCATCTGACTGACTGACTGACTAACTAACAACGATGATTGATTGATGATTTCAAATGTGTAAGAATTCACTGAGAGATTTTTTGGTGCGGTTTTTAAATGTCCTTCTTTTTTTTAATCAGAAGAAACCGAAAAAAGAAAAACTGCTTCATACAAATATTTAAAATAAATCAGTCTAAAAATTAGCTTAAACTGAACTAGTTTTCAGAGAATCAAGGAGAGAGAAAAGAAACATTCAAGATAACTAATCAACACTATTCGGTAGACGATAGTGAAATAATAATATTTTCGATAATTTAAAAATCATTGGTAATCATAATAATAATGGTAATTACTGAATAATTATTCAAGTCAAAAATGGTGGAAAACAAATTCAATCATTGCATGTGAATTTATCTGTTTTGTGTGTGTGTGTGTGTGTAGGGATTTACTGTCCCTTTGAAGTAGTTACATTGTTTTTCTTAGCACAAAAAACTATAACAACAATCGAAATGATAATTTCCTGTAAGAATGAAAGTATGCGGAACTCTTGAAAACTTTTTCAAAATAGCTTAGCTGACAAATCTGAATTGATGGAAGGTTGAAAATGTTTCTCATTCAATTTATGCGAGAAAATGGAAACTTGCCCAAAAAGTAATTATCTAGTGTTCCCACACACCTCGATGATTTATCACATTTATCTTTAAACAGACATATAGATAGATAATAGTGAGTAACTGCGAGTAATATTCTAGAACTTTCCTAACCTACTTACTTACGCTTCTTACACCCAGTGGAGCATAGGCCACCGACTAGTATTCTCCAATCTACGCTGTCGTAGGCCTCCCTTTGCAGTTGTGTACAATTTTCGTTCATTCTTCTTATGTCTGTGTCTATTTCTCAACATATTGTGTTCCTTGAACTTCGGTTTTTCCTTTGACCTTGAGGATTCCAAGTGAGGGCTTGTCTTGTCACGCAGTAGGGTGCTTTCCTCAAACTGTATCCTATCGACTTTCAGCATGTCTTTCTGATTTCTTCTTCCGATGAATTTTAGTTTCTTCCCTTCCTGAACTATTTTGTGTAGACAACTTTATATGAGCACTTGTATCTTCTGAATGATGAATTTCGTAGTTTCCGCCACATACAGTAAATAGAACTTTCTTGACATTTGTGTTGAAAATTGTGACTTTGGTGTTTGTTGACAGTTGTTTTGAGTTGCAGATGTTCTTCATTTGTAGAAATACTGCCTTTCTTTTACCAATCCGCGCCTTCATGTCTGCATTGGATCTACGTTGCTCATCAATGATGCTGCTCAGAAATGTAAAGGTTCTTACGTCCTCCAAGGTATATCTCCATGTAATGTGATTAAGTTGGAGCATGTTGTGTTGTATCGGAGAATTTCAAAAAGTAGTCGAACAAGAAAATCACTTGATGGTAATCAGAAATGTCTTAAAGGGTGGACGCATATCTTTGGTCAAGAAATGGATTCATTTTCTAAGGCGCAGGAATATATATATATGTCGGGGATGTTAGATCCCTCAGAACTCGCTTGATAAATGCCTTATTTTGGATTTCACGTTTGCCAGCATGGACTGATCAGTTGACTTTGAGATTACATTTCCATCAAGGAAAATCCATGGATGTGATTGGCTGCTGTGTATTTTAGTGTGCTATTTTTGTGACTGTCCCAAGCACGTTTCTATGATGCATAAATAAACTAGAGTTATGTGATTGATTGTATTGTGATTGCTGGGTGTTGTAGAACATACTTCTTAATATTTAATTTACTGACGCCCATAACCAGAAATGGAGCATAGGCCACCGATCATCATTCTGCAACCGATTCTGTCCTGGACCTTCCTTTCTGGTTCCACCCAACTGTCTCACATTCTTCTCATGTGTGTTTCCATTTCTCTGTGTATTGTTTTCTTTGGTCTTGACGAATGTAAGTTAGGGCTTGTACCGTGATGCAGTTGGATGCTTTCCTCAATGTGTGTCCTACCCACTTCCAACACATCTAACTGGTTTCTTCTTCTGATGGAATCTAGTCTGTTTTCTACCACAGTAGGTTGTTGCTGATGGATCCGCAGTATTTTATGCAGACAACCGTAAATAAGCGCTTGAATCTTCGTGGTTCTCTAAGTTTCCGCCCCATACAGTAGAACTGTCTTGACATTTGTGTTGAAAATTGTGACTTTGGTGTTTATTGACAGTTGTTTTGATTTCCAGGTGTTATTCAGTTGTAGAAATTCTGCCTTTTGGTTTGCCGATCCGCGCCTTCACATCTTCATCAGATCCATTTCGCTCATCATTGACACTGTCCAATATATATATATATATACATATATGTATATTGAAGTTATAAGCCTAAAGGTTTTGACTCCTATTGTAGTGAAGGAGAACACAGGTGAGGGCAACCGAATTGTATTTAACAAAAATTACAGAGTTACTCATTAAAATAGGAAAACCATATCGTAAATCGTTCATTTGTAAAATATCAGTTTATCATATCGAACTGGGCTGTTCCTGTTGCAAACAACATCAATCCATTGTCACTATTCATGCGTTTCATACAAATTCCATTGTGTTCTTCTAACTCTTCGTTTCTTGATCTTCCCCCATCTTCTGCTGCTGCCAGACATTACGTTGACACTCACGTCATATACTACTTATAAGTAGCTCACACCACACTATCTCTGATGCAGTTGTGTATACAAACTACGAAAGAAGAGTGTCATGCTGAGATGAAATATTCATTCAATGTTCCCAAATGTTTTTTTTGTTCAATCGTATCTTAAATAAAATCAATCTACAAAATAAACTCGTTTCATTTTCTAGTGAATAACTGAAAAAAAAACTGAACTAAAAATTATATCGCTGATTTTTTTTGGTGTGTATACTCACTTCAATGCTGATAGACATCAAATCGAGTGACCAGACAGAATAAAATCAATAACAATGGCAGTATAAATCAAATTTCATTCATTAATACTAGTAATAATAATCATACACTTCAAGGGATAATCTTCCATTGTCCTAAAACAGTGTCATTCTCTCTCTGTTTGCTCCAAAAACTTGACAATAATTTTTCATTTCAAGCTCCATTTACCACAGTGAATAGTAAGTGAGTGTGTGCACATGATAAACTCGATTAGCTGGTAGACAATTTTTGTATGCAATCAAGCATAAATTTGAAATCGATCAGTTTAATAAATTGTAAGATGAATTCAACCAATCAGGTTTAAGGAGATAAGCTGAAGGTCATAACCCACACTGGAAAGGTGGATACTAATTTTATCGATCTAATGCTCTTTAACATTTAATATTATATAATAATAATAATAATAATAATAATAATAATAGTAATAGTAATAGTAATAATAATAATAATAATAATAATAATGTACTACTATGTAGTACAGGAGTGAATGACAGAAACTCTTTTAAGTAGGGCAACTGTGCTAAATTATTTTAGTGAAGTGTTATGCTCGTCAGTTGATATGCTTGAAACTTAGTCGGTAAACCAGAGCGAAGATAAATGATCCAGTCACATGATAGGCTACTCTAATCCGAACGTACCAAGACCCTACTAAGTAGAGAAAGAAGTCTTGACAAGACGTAGAAAGTGTATTCTACAAGCATCCAGAAAATCGAGGTTCCCAAACACACAAATCGAGTTTATTTCTACATCATATAAACGTCCTTGGGAGAGCCACAAAAATAGCGTACTAAAATACTACATCAACCAGTAACAGTCAAGGATTTTCCGGATGGGACATGTAATCTCAAGCTCAGCTGAACAGCCCATGTTTGAAAACGTAAAATCCAAAATTAAGATGTTTATCAAGTGAATTCTGGGGATCTAACGTTCCTAACATGAAGAGAGAGAGGAAGATTTGCAGCGGATTCAATTTTCCAGCTATAAATAATTAACTGCTTACTTAATCATGTTACCCCTTGTGGAGCATCGGCCGCCAACTAGCATTCTTCAACATATACTATCCTAGGGCTTCTTTTTCAGTTCTGTCCAGTCGCTGTTCATTCTTTTTATGTCTGTCTTCACTTCTCAGTGTAAAGTGTTCTTTGGTGTTCCTCGTCATCTTTGACATTTAGGATCTCAAGTAAGCACCTGCTCCTTGATCCAGTTGGGTGATTTCCTCAATGTGAATCCTATCCATTTCCAGTGCTTTTTCCTAATTTATTGTCCTCATTGCTATCATTGGTGGGCACATATTACTGGATGACTTTCAGTGTGATCCCCTCTTTCTGTTGCGTTTGAAGGAGGCTTTGATGATCCTGTGTCTATGAGGTTCCCATCTTATAAGTTGAGGTCTAGAACAAACACGGTTTTCCTGGGTTTATTGTTTATGAAACCTAGAAATGTGTTGAAGGATTATTGAGGTTAATATTTTAGGTATCATGTTAGGTAAATTAATTGTTCTCTGGTTATCACAAGAGCAACTTTTTCCTTTCTTATATATTCTAAGGATAACCAATTGACACAAGTTTCCAGACTTTCGCTAGTGTAGGACTAACCAACAGTAGGTATTCATGGCCTCAGGAGCAGTAATCGAACCTAGGATCTTTATTCTTACGAGTGAACGCTTAACTTCTAAATCACTCAGCCGGTATCCACCGGTGTTAATGTCTAAACTGAATCAATTCATGATATTGCATGATTACCAATCATTGTCTTCAGTAGGCAACTGATTTAATACAAGTAGATGATAGATATCTATCTTCCTCTATTGTCAAACACACATTTGAAACAGATCATAAGATTGAACTACTGTTAAGATATTCGTCAAATATCCTAAGAGAATTATTTTTGGAAGTCTAATTCTATTGGTCAATATTATGGTCGTCCTAACTATCAATGTCACAGACTTCAATGTTGTTTCTTATTGGACCTAACTGCATAAATATCTGTAACGTTTTATGACCCGGATCCGGATCCCTAGTCCGGGATCCTCATTCTCTTCTGGACTCGGACTTCGTACTTTCTGGATGTTTGTAGAATACAGGTTCTACTTCATCATAAGTCTGAGGTGTGCCGATTTACTGCGTGTTCTTACGTTTCGTAATAAGCTCGTTCAGACTACCTTATCCCAATGACGTCTGACTGTTAATAAATCAGAAGATGAATTCCAAGTAGCGTATACGTTTATTGAAGCACACCACAATTAATAACAGCAGACCACAGACAGACCGGGCAGACAGACTAGTGAGCGAATATGCGAATGTGCGAATGAATTAATAAGATTAAAATGTTCGTATATATACAAAGGAAAATGTCTGAGTCATCGTGGTATTGAAGAGATTAATATTAAAGCGAATAGGATGAATATATGCGTAGGCGTTAAGCAATGCTCAGTCATACTAGCTCATACAAACCAGATAATAAAAAATACCAATTGTACATATAAGTTGTTGCTAAGCGAATGGCTTGGTTAAATAAATTAATCGAAAGGGCTTAACCAAGTTAGATGTGAGAGAAGTGAAATATATGTGGAGGCACTACAAGTCTTCTTCTTTTGCTCAACGGGAGTTGGGACACTCAGATTAGAGTAGCATATTGTGTCGCCGGATCCTCAATCTTCGCTCTCGTTTTCCGACTAAGGTAAACTCGTAATAGCATTCAAGCATATCAAAATGACATGTTTACGTGCATACATAACAATTACTTAACTACTTACCGACGCCTGTTACTCCTAATGGAGTATAGACAACCAACCAACATTCTCCAACCTACTCTCTTCTGCGCCTTATTTTCCAGTTCTATCCGATTACTTTTCATTATTTTCATGTTCGCTTCCAGTTCTCTGCTCAGTGTATTCCTTTATGCACCTCTTTTCCTTTGACTTTGAGGATTCCAAGCTAGGACTTGCCTTCCGCTTCAGTTTAATGATTTCTTCAATGTATATCCTATCTACATTCAGTGCTTTTCACTTAATTTCTTCCTCTGCTAGAATCTGGTTCATTCACTCCCACAGTATACTTTATCTAATTAAGCAACTCCTTGCACAAGCTAGTAAGTATCTGAACTCAATAGTTACGATTGTGTTCAAAACGAATGGTACATGGTTCGAATCCCGGAGTGAATATCAACTCTCAGAGACAGGTAGATTCAGTAACATACTAGTTCCAAATACGATGAATCGTTAGTTTTGGATCCTACTACTAGCCCCTATTCTATTCTGTTTAATTTATTCATAAACCTGAGCTTGTCTAGTTACAAGTATAGATTGTAGAATAATCCCAAACTTTGTTTGGTGATATGATGTTAGATTTTTCAATTGAAAGATGTTTCCAATTAGAATTATGGAGATTAGTGTTTTTACACATTTGAAATTATCAAACAATTATTGTTAGAAGCACTGGAAGACAGCCGTTTCGTCTTGGTATGGGACTCATCAGTGGCAGTGCGCATTCACTACTGCGCAGTACACTCGTCCTTTATGCGTTTGCTGACTAAAGGACGAGTGTACTGTGCAGTAGTTCGCTCCATCTTACTTTATGGCTGTGAAACATGGCCACTGAGAGTAGAAGATATTCGTAGGTTACTGGTTTTCGATCATAGGTGTCTTCGAAGCATTGCTCGTATATCGTGGGACACCCGAGTGAGCAACGCTGTTATTAGGAATCGGGTGCTAGGTAAGAATGGCAGATCAATAGACGCAGTAGTGACACTTCATCAGTTGAGGTGGTTGGGACGTGTGCTGTGTATGCCTAACCACAGACTGCCTCGAAGAGCTATGTTTTGTGGTGTAGGAGTAGGTTGGAAGAAAGTTAGGGGCGGCCAAACCAAAACATGACAGAAATCCATGAAATCATTGACGAATGGACTTGGCCATGTCGGTAATTGTCGACTACCTGGTTGGGGTCCGCGAGATGATAATAATCGATGGTTAGAGACTTTGAATGACATGGCTCAAAATCGTTTGCAATGGCGCAGGTGCATTTATTCTTTGTGTTCTCTCAAATCCTAATCTTCTGGATTCTTCAACAACTCTAGTTTTGACTTTCTAAACTTTTCTCATTGAATCATACTTGTTGAATAATATCTTCTAATCCTAACCTCTCCAATTATTTCTAATACCTTTAGTACCTCTTCTACTATTGAATTGACAATTACATCTCTGTGCTAATATTGTGGTATGGCAACATGAACTGATGTCCATACGTACGAAGTTGTACGTTGCATCTGACTGACTCTGACTGACTGCGAACGCCTAACCATTGGACCACTGAGCTGGCCGGCATCCAACGGTGTTAATATCTTACTTTGATTGATCTAGGGATTTGTAGGGTTTGTAGAAAATCCTAATTGATTTAGATTGTGTGCTAATTGATAGCTACAATTTTTAAGGCAACCTAATGTTATCCAATAGTTTTTGAATTCGGTTCAGTTAGTTTCATATTTTTAAGATGTGACCAGTGAACTTTTTAGATAATGAATGACTATGTTATTTCTATTATTAATTAAATCCTATTTGATCATGTTCTCTAGTCGGGGTAGTATTGAAACTTGATCGATTTGAATTGAATTTGATCAATTATCAATAATTGCACAAATATGTGGTGATATGATAGACATTATTGAGAATGTGTGTTTCATCGATCCTGTTCAATGTTCATTTGTTTATTGCATAGAATACTTTTTAACCATAAAAATAATAATAATTATTATTCAGTCAGTCACTTGCAACGTAGAACTACGTACGTATGTACATAAGTTCAGGTTGCCATACCACAGTATTAGAACAGAGACGCAAATGTCAAATCAAATCCCATAGTGATAGTAGAGATAGTAGAGGTATTAATGGTAATGAAGAAGACTAGGGTTCGAAGATATTATTCAAGAAGTATAATTCAGTAAGATAAGGTTAGAAAGATAAAGGTAGAGGTGCTGACGATTTCAGAAGATTACGATTTGAGAGAGCTCAAAGAATGGATGCACTTGCGCCATTACAAACGATTCTGAGTCATGTCGTTCAAGGTCTCTAACCATTGGTGACTTTCGTATCACGGACTCCAACCACGTAGTCTACATCTACCAACATGACTCAGTTCACTAGTCAGTGACTTCATGGATCTGTGCCATGTTTTGGTTTGGCCGCCCTTAGCTTCCTTCCAACCTACCCCCCTACACCACAATACATAGCTCGTCGCGACAGTCGGTGGTGGTTAGTCATACGAAATATTTAAATGGATTTGTCTGAAATTTATATACTAAGCAATCAGA